TTCCCAGAGACGGATCGTAAGTCGAAGCGATTTTTCCCATAAGAAATAATGAGATTTGAATTAATCTGTTCCCCACCCTCCAAAATATTAACATACAACTACATTTTATACTGAATACAATGTTTTTTTCTAACTACAATACAGTACCAAAGTTTCTCTTACCTTTATGGAGGATTCTTGATGGCGTATGGAAGATGGTGATGAGGGGGGAGGAGGAGAGTTGTTACTGTTTGGAAGGGGAGTCCCCTTCCATTATCACATCTGGCAGTGATGTTTTCTCTGGGGGTACTCTCTCTCCTACATTTTGCTTGAATACCACTAGGACCTGGTTGTGGTTCAGTGCTTGTTTGTCTCACTACAAATTTGTTAAGAGACATTTGTTTTTCCCTTCTTTTTAACATTAGTCTGTAATGATGCATCACAGTGTCATTAAATAGGTTAAGCCAATGACCTACTGCAGCTTGATTTGGGTGAGTCGTTTCAGCAAAGGTTTGCAATTCTTCCCATATTGCACACATTTTCTTAATTTTTGAGGAAGAGACATTCTCTACTGGCACATCCTCCCCTGAAGAAATTTCCTCTGCTGCCTCTTCTTGCTGCTCCTTTTGAAGGGCTTGGAGTTCTTCGGTGGTCAGTTCTTCGTTGTGTTCTTCCACCAACTCCTCCACATCACCACCATCCAACTCCAAGCCCAATTGCCGACCCAGAGGAACAATTTCCTCAACGAGAGGCACTTCAGGTTCAGGCTCAAACCCCTCAAAGTCTCGTTCTGCAACACATTCAGGCCACAGTTTTCTCCAGCCAGAGATCATGGTTCTTACAGTCACTTCCTGCCAGGCTTTGTCAACAAGTTTTAAAGCACTCTAAATGTTAAAATGGTTTTTCCAGAACTCTTTGAGGGTGAGGTTTGTGGCATCCGTTACTTCGACACATCTCCGGAAAAGTGCCCTTTCATAAAGTTTCTTAAAATTGGCAATGATTTTCTGGTCCATAGGCTGAAGTAGAGGAGTGGTGTTGGGAGGAAGGAACTTTATTGTAACAGACTTAAATTCCTCATCCAATGAATCCTCCAAGCCTGGAGGATGGGCAGGAGCATTATCGAGGAGAAGCAGGGCCTTGAGTGACAAACTGTTCTCCTGCAAATATTTCTTGATGGCAGGGCACACCACCATATTCACCCACTCCTTAAAAAATTGCCTAATCACCCATGCCTTAGCATTAGCCTTCCACATCACACATCACAAGGGAGCCGGTCGGCCGAGCGGACAGCACACTGGACTTGTGATCCTGTGGTCCTTTGTTCGATCCCAGGCGCCGGCGAGAAACAATGGGCAGTTTCTTTCACCCTATGCCCCTGTTACCTAGCAGTAAAAATAGGTACCTGGGTGTTAGTCAGCTGTCACGGGCTGCTTCCTGGGGGTGGAGGCCTGGTCGAGGACCGGGCCGCGGGGTCACTAAAAAGCCCCGAAATCGTCTCAAGATAACCTCAAGATAACACACATTTTGTGTTTCTGCACATTATATTTTTTGAAAATAATTACACGTACTGTACTCTCTCTCTTTCCTATTAACATTGCAAGACCATTTGCAAAATTTTGTTTCATGGTGGTAAGAAGTTAAATGAAAGCTTATTGAACAACCAGTGAGCCATTCAGAAGGAAGAGTTTCAGTTCTATCAACACATTTATTTTGTGGGCAGGGCTAGAAAAGTGGATTTATTCCCAGATTCATGTTCTCAGAATTAGTTGAATGATAAATTTTAAACTCTGAAATTCTTTCTGATGAGCATAAATTACAGATCTTAGACATTATATAAAGGCTACTAGATGTATTCCTAGTGTTAAAAATGGCAAATTTGACAGCTAAATGTATTACCTATATTCAAATTATTAACTTTATAAAGATGATGAAACATCATGGTACAAGTTGTCATATAGTTGCACTGGGCAGAACCTGGAGACTGCAAAAACATTCCTGCTCTACATTAAAATATGACACCCCATGGTGCGCCGAAAATAAATTATTAAAAAAAATATTATTTTTACAGTGGAACCTCAGTGGAATTAACGAGTTTAATCCGTTCTGGCACCGAGCTCGTTACCTGGAAAACTCGTCTTTGGAAACAAATTTCCCCATTTAAAATAAAGGAAATAAATTTAATCCGTTCCACTCCCAAAAACATCCATACTTGTATGACTTTTTTTATGTAAATATAATACTGCACATGTAAATATAAATGTTTTGTTGTAGTGTTTTAATATTTACTTTACCTTATGAAGAGTAGTTGCTGGCTTGAGGGAGATGATGGAGAGGTGGGAAGGAGGAGAGGGGTTATGGTGTGGAAGGAGAATCCACCTCTGAGTCAGGCGGACTCTCTCTTCTTGGGAATTTCACCCAAATTTCATTTCAAATGTCACACAAGGATGCGTTAGACCAGCACCAAATAAAAAACTACGTTGATTACACTCGTTGTGTCAACAATATAATAGTCTTCCCACGAAGATACAATACAATGCCGTTTTCTCAAATAGGCAATGTGGTTATTAAAGAAAACGGAAATTTCATGGCAAACATGTATACAATCCCCAAGTCGATCGGATAAGAATTGGATTTTATAGAAATATTTGCTCAAATGACGCTTGAGCGCGGTGTTTGGGTGCATTCAATAGAAAAAAAGTGTGTTACGTTCAAGCGACATATACCTGCGAAAGTGATAACACTTTCATAAAGTGTTATCACAAAGTGATAAATTAATTTAACATTTTCACACACCGGGATGTCACTGCTTTATCAGGGCAGCTTTTCCAAGAATGTGTTCACCTTTTCAAACATTCCAAACACTTCCCTGATCTCAGTGGAAGAGGCAGCATCCTCCCTTACCTCCTCATTCCCTTACTAATGGTGTAAATTGTTGATGAGGACCTGCCATACTTCCTTGTGAGATCAATCACACAGACACCACACTCATGCTTTGCTATAATTTCCTTCTTTAAATCCACAGTAAGTGTGTCTTTCTTCCTCTTGACAACACTATCTTTAGCAAGCAGCTTCTTTGGAGACATCGTGTGTTACAAATTGTAGTCGTAAAACCACTAAAAACTCAAAGAAAAGCTCAAATAAATCCAGAGGGATGCTTGTCGTGTGAGATACAACAACAACACTGGCGTCGGAGGCGTCCGAGAATTTGCGAGAACCCGCGAGACGCTAGGAAGCGCCATGTGGTTTCACTCGTTAATAGAGGCGAGCTCGTCAATAGAGACAAATTTGCTGCGAGTGGCTTGCTCGTTACTGGTTAAAAACATCGCTATTCTCAAAAATATTGAGATCATATATGGTGACAGGTATATTATATTCTTAGATCGTTATATACAAGAAGAGGTTTATGAGAGTCCACTAAAGTAGCACGCATAGTGTTTCGGGCAGATCCTTAATCTAACATATAATTTTAAGAAGATAATTTCTAGCAAAATTAACAAAATGTTTACAGGTACATTGTAAGAAAGTATAAAAATACATTATAAGAAAGTATAAAAATACATTATAAGAAGGTATAAAAATACATTGTAAGAAAGTATAAAAATACATTATAAGAAAGTATAAAAATACATTGTAAGAAAGTATAAAAATACATTGTAAGAAGGTATAAAAATACATTGTAAGAAGGTATAAAAATGCATTGTAAGAAAGTATAAAAAAAATAGATTGCATAAGAAATTTGACAGAAAAAAAAGTAGGTATATTAATGTAAATTGAAGGGTTATCCACAAGTACATTCTTGTTGTTATTACACTATGTACACATTTTATATATCATTAACAACATTTATATGCATCATAACATATTAATAAGCAGTTCTGGTGAATATAATGATAAAATCAAAACACAGCATGGAGCCACAAACAGACAATGCCAGTAGTCACATGATGCAATATAATGCCTCCAATATTCTACTCATCTTGCTATAACTTGCTAAAAACCACTATTATTATTATCACATTCCTGTCACAAAATCCTGAATATTAATCTATTTCCATAACAAAATGAACATTGGTGACAGAACATAAGGTTGTTTCATGATGCATAGATGGAGGAAACAATAGCTGGGTGCTGTGTCTTTACCTCATGCTGGGAATATCAGAACTAACATTGTGTTCACTGATATTTGAATGTTGTACATAGTCTTTATCACAGTCTGGATCATCTGTAACACTATCAATGCAATGTAATTTTCAGTTACCTATTTTATTCATCATTACTAAGTGGTACTGTGGCTCCTAGCTGTACAGCAGTGCTGTGCGCAGCTCCTGCATGTGCCAGCCTTATCTTGATATGATTTCGGGGCTTAGTGTCCCCCCGGCCCAGTCCTTGACCAGGCCTCCACCCCCAGGAAGCAGCCCGTGACAGCTAACTCCCAGGTACCTATTTACTGCTAGGTAACAGGGGCATCAGGGTGAAAGAAACTCTGCCCATTGTTTCTCGTTGGCGCTCGGGATCAAACCCGGAACCACAGGATCACGCGTCCAGTGTTCTGTCTACTCAGCCACCGGCTCCTCAAAATCCTTGGTCGCTCTCTCTCAATACTTAGGCTCTCACAGCCAGCACAGATGCTGACGATTTTTTTTCAAGGTGGTATCTGTTTACAGGAGTCCTGAGGCACAGGATGTGAGCCCTGTGTACCTGCGGGAGTTTTGAATCATTCCCTATACTTTGCCTAAAAATGCCAAATGGTGTTCTGTGTACCCTCGATCCAGTGCTTCAAGGCGCTCTGTGCAGTGCAGTGGTTAAATGAGTGGAACTTGTTTAACTTTATGTAGAACTGACATATAACTTTTCATTTATACAATACTGTAAACTTATATAAAATAAAATTTATATAATAGTTTTATTTTCAGAAACTATTCTAAAAAAATATAGAGCTGGGGTGTAAAAATAGTGTAAGAAATTTAAAGGTTCATGAATGAACTGATTCTTAAAATTATAAATTTTTCTCTTATCTTTAGGTCTTGACTCGCATGGGATATGCTGTGATGACATAAATTATGCTGTTGGAACGCATGGACATTCAGATCATCTTGGAAACCTCAATCTGTTCACCAAGGCCAAGCATATTGTTGGGTATATAGTGTCACATGAAGATGAATTCTTCATCCATCCTTTTGACACAGGTTTGTTACACTGGCTTATAATCCATAAAAACTATTGCAGATGATGAGTCACAATAACATGTCTGAAAAATGTTGACCGAACCACACTAGAAATTAAAGAGACGACAATGTTTTGGTCCGGTCTGGATCATTATCAAGTCGATTGTGATGAGACAAGGGAGGCAAGGGCATTAAAGCCGGCGCAGCACAATGGTAATAAGTAGGCAAGAGAGAGCGGGTGAGGAGATGGAAATCTTAGAGGAAGAGACGAGCAAGGCAAAAGGTACAGAAGGTAAGGTGCAATAAAAGTTGTAATAATAGGAATAAGAAAAGGATCATAAGAGAAAACAAGAGAAAGAAAAACAAAGAAAAGGGAAGGGTAGGCTTATGTTAGGTCATGTTTGTTAGAAAGTTTAGAACATTTAACCCAACATGAACCTTAGTCCTGGCTTTGATGCTGTTGACTCTTCCCTTTCTCAGTATATACCCAAATGTTCTAAATTTTTTAACAAACGTGACCTAACATAAGCCTATCCTTCTTTTTTCTTTGTTTTTCTGTCACTTGTTTTCTCTTATGATCTCTATCTTATAACTATTATTACACTCTTTATTACACCTTATCTTTTGTACCTTCAAGATGCCTTGCTCGTATCTTCCTCTAAGATTTCCATCTCCTCGCCTCTCTCTTGCCTACTTAATGCCCTTGCCTCCCTCGTCTCATCACAATCGATTTGATAATGGTCCAGGACAGACTGAAACATCGTCGTCTCTTCAATTTCTAGTGCGTGGTTTGGTCAACAATAAAAACTATTGTATCATTATAAATCACATCTACACCTGTTTTTATATACAGTGGTACCTCAGAATACGAGTGTCCCTGTATATGAGTTTTTCAGAATACAAGCAGGATTTCCTCGGAAAATATGTCTCGGAAGACGAGGGTTACCTCGGAAGTCGAGTTTGTTGATACGCGTACAGGCCGACCTAGCGCGTGGTGGTACGGCGATCGTCGCCTCTCAACCCTCAGTTTACCAGTGCCTCGCACCCAGTGACTATTCCACGTAAATTCTTCACCCGGATTTTCAGTGTTTTGTTGAATTTTTGGTCATTTGACCATAAAAGATATTATATATCTCGCCATGGGTCCCAAGAAAGCCAGTGGTAAGGTTTAACCTAAGAAAATAGTGCTGCGTTTTGGGCGATCGAGTAATTACCTAAGTGTAATTACCTAAGTGTAGTTACAGGATGAGAGCTAAGCTCGTGGTGTCCCGTCTTCCCAGCACTCTTTGTCATATAACGCTTTGAAACTACTGACGGTCTTGGCCTCCACCACCTTCTCACTTAACTTGTTCCAACCGTCTACCACTCTATTTGCGAAGGTGAATTTTCTTATATTTCTTCGGCATCTGTGTTTAGCTAGTTTAAATCTATGACCTCTTGTTCTTGAAGTGCCAGGTCTCAGGAAATCTTCCCTGTCGATTTTATCAATTCCTGTTACTATTTTGTATGTAGTGATCATATCACCTCTTTTTTTTCTGTCCTCTAGTTTTGGCATGTTTAATGCTTCTAATCTCTCCTCGCACGTAGCTCTTACCCTTCAGTTCTGGGAGCCACTTAGTAGCATGTCTTTGCACCTTTTCCAGTTTGTTGATGTGCTTCTTAAGATATGGGCACCACACAACAGCTGCATATTCTAGCTTTGGCCTAACAAAAGTCATGAACAATTTCTTAAGTATATCGCCATCCATGTAATTAAATGCAATTTTGAAGTTAGAAAGCATAGCATATGCTCCTTGCACAATATTCTTTATGTGGTCCTCAGGTGATAGTTTTCTATCTAGAACCACTCCTAGATCTCTTTCTTTATCAGAATTCTTTAAAGATTTCTCACATAATATATAGGTTGTGTGGGGTCTATGTTCTCCTATTCCACATTCCATAACATGACATTTATTAACATTAAATTCCATTTGCCAAATGGTGCTCCATATACTTATTTTGTCCAGGTCTTCTTGAAGGGCATGACAATCATCTAAATTTCTTATCCTTCCTATTATCTTAGCATCATCAGCAAACATGTTCATATACAGTGGTACCTCGCATAACGATTGCCCCAAAAGACGAATATTTTGGGTAACGAACGGCCCGATCGGCGTCAAATCGTCCCGTATGACGAACGCTGGTTTGAGTAACGTCAACACCACATGGTGGGGTCGCGCTGCTGCTTGCACATTCTTAGACGCCTCCGACGATGCACATAAATTATGTTGTTCTTGTTTAAAGATGCTAATGATGCTGGGATATAAAAGGGTGACTGCTGAGATGTTGCAAAGCATTGACGTTTTTGTAGGAAAAAAGAAATGAAATATCTGATATACAACAAATGTCAAAAAAGTTCGTTCGGTGTTCGGCAGGTAGGCTGCTCCATTATAACAATCTTTCTTTGTTTCAAATGTGTTCCATTTGTTTTTTATTTGTCATTTACGTCTCAATAATGGAGAAGCCTACCTTACATACACTGAATAAACCATTATGACATTTTCCTTTCTTCAAATGTGTTCAATATTTATTTTTCATTTGTCTTATAGCAAAAGGTTCGTTCGGTGGTCGGCAGGTAGGCTGCTCCATGTTTCTTACATACAAAAAACGTAAATAATAAAAAAATATGAAGAATTTTGAAAACCAGTACAAATGTCAAAAATGTTCGTTCGGTGGTCTACAGGTCGACTGCTCCATGTTTCTTAAAAAAAAAAAAAAACGAAAAATAAAAGAACTGTTGAAACAATTTGAAAAATGGACAAATGTCATAAAGGTTCGTTCAGTGTTTGTCGGGTAGGCTGCTCCATTATTGAGACGTAAGTGATAAATACAAAACAAATGGAACACATTTGAAACAAAGAAAGATTGTCATAATGGAGCAGCCTACCCAACAAACACTGAACGAACCTTTTGCTATAACGAATATGAAAGACAAGGGCTGCTGGCTGGGTTAGTAGTGCGTGAGCAACCATTTGTAGCACACGTGCCTCTGGCTCTCAAACACCTGTCCCACACGGTGTTGAAAGACTGTACTCAGTCAGTGCAATTCAGACCCTATTGTTTGAAGAACATAAGGGTCATAACATTGGTGAAGCTAGGCGCAATAAGGGCTTAACACAACGGTCGGATGCCTGTGATACAGCACCTATGAGGATGATACAGCGAGCGTATCCAGGTGTAGCTCTGAGCCCCACCCTTGCCATCTCTAATGTATATAGATGATACATAGATGAATCGTTTTCTGCGTTCAGTGATGATGCATCTGATACAAGTAGCATAGATGAACAGTGTTAGCGGCTTCCATGGTGGTGGTGTTCATTGATATTTTTAAGAATACCTGAATCTTTTCCTGACTGATGGACACTCTTTGAGGCTAGCTGAATCTCTTCCTGACTGATGGACACTCTTTGAGGCTAGCTGAATCTCTTCCTGTGTGGGACCTTACAAAGCGATCTTTTCAAGACTACCTTACAAATTGAGCTTTTCCTATAATCGTTTCAATACTACCTTATGCTTTACAAGCTTGGCTACATACCACCTACAAGTACTAAAGCCAAGGGTGCACGCGAGTGCATTATTTGCAAGCACACAGAACGATGAAACAGGAAACAAAAATCTATCTGTAGCTGGTGCAAGGAGAGCAAAGTCGCGCTGTGTACCATGGACTACTTCGTTGACTATTACGCACCTCCAAAGTACTGAGTAATTACCTAAGTGTAATTACCTAAGTGTAGTTACAGGATGAGAGCTACGCTCATGGTGTCCCGTCTTCCCAGCACTCTTTGTCATATAACGCTTTGAAACTACTGACGGTCTTGGCCTCCACCACCTTCTCACTTAACTTGTTCCAACCGTCTACCACTCTATTTGCGAAGGTGAATTTTCTTATATTTCTTCGGCATCTGTGTTTAGCTAGTTTAAATCTATGACCTCTTGTTCTTGAAGTTCCAGGTCTCAGGAAGTCTTCCCTGTCGATTTTGTCAATTCCTGTTACTATTTTGTATGTAGTGATCATATCACCTCTTTTTCTTCTGTCTTCTAATTTTGGCATATTTAATGCTTCTAACCTCTCCTCGTAGCTCTTGCCCTTCAGTTCTGGGAGCCACTTAGTAGCATGTCTTTGCACCTTTTCCAGTTTGTTGATGTGCTTCTTAAGATATGGGCACCACACAACAGCTGCATATTCTAGCTTTGGCCTAACAAAAGTCATGAACAATTTCTTTAGTATATCGCCATCCATGTATTTAAATGCAATTCTGAAGTTAGAAAGCATAGCATAGGCTCCTTGCACAATATTCTTTATGTGGTCCTCAGGTGATAGTTTTCTATCTAGAACCACTCCTAGATCTCTTTCTTTATCAGAATTCTTTAAAGGTTTCTCACATAATATATAGGTTGTGTGGGGTCTATGTTCTCCTATTCCACATTCCATAACATGACATTTATTAACATTAAATTCCATTTGCCAAGTGGTGCTCCATATACTTATTTTGTCCAGGTCTTCTTGAAGTGTGTAATACAGTGTGTTACTGTGTAAATAGTATGTGAAACTGTACATATTGTAATATTAGTGAATTTTTACCACGTAATATTGTGACTAAACATTTATTGTGGACACATTACTGACACATGTATCACAGTTTCATGGAAAATTATGAACATTCTACTGTATACATATTGTAAAGGTCACAAATATGCATCATATACGATAAAAGAAACAAATAAAACCGCATTGGAAATGCATAGGAAAAATATTTGAAAATATATTTGTGGCAACACGCGGTGCTTGAATGGCCTGCGCGACCGTGTCTGGGAGCTTCACACACGGGCGACCAGCCCCTGATGACGTCACAGCGCACCTTGTCCACGCCCTCACAGCCAAAGTAAGTGGAATTTGGTAATTATTTTTACATAGACATGTTCAGGGACGGTAATTTATCATTTTACAAAGAAAAATTATATTTTGGGGAACATTTGATGTC